TATTCGCCAGATCGAGCACACTCAGATTATTACTTGTTCCGGTCTATACAAATTTTTTTTAACTCTAAGACATTTACTTGAAATGACAATGTCAAAAATCACTTGGATCGTTTTTTTGTAAGCAACGATCAAAACTTTTATGAATGTGAAATAATGCTACTACCAGAAACGATGACAACAGGTATTTGACCAAAATGGTTGATATATAATTCAATAAAATATTTATTTATTATAAAAATATTGTGTTTTTTTTTTCATGGAAAAAAAACGAACTTACTTTCTGAACAACCAATATATTATATTGGTATTCATGTGATATATATCAAAATTATGCCTATTCTTTCAATCTTAATAGGTATGTTGATAAATTTGAATATTTATATGATATTGGAAACTTTCATAAAGCAAACAAATGTAACTTTCATAAAAATAATAAGTCTCCTCATAAAAAATAATACAATTTGTTCATTTTTTAATGAAAATATGTTGAAAGATTATTCAACAGTAAAAAAGCCTAAGGCCCTGGAAAATTATTTGCACCTGACTCTCTTTTTGGAGAAGATCCTGTATAATGTTATACAAATTGTGCAAATCCAAGACAACAAATCTCATTGAAGGCAAAACTCTTTATCACTGTATATAGTCATCTATTCTGTCTGATGATGATAACAGTTTTGATATAAAAAATAACTTTTGTTATGCTTGTATGTTTTATAGTATAATCAAATAAAATGAATTTTTTTAGGAAGTTAACGCAAATAGAGAAAAACTAACGGAACCACAGAAACGAGTAGTCGATAAATATTTACTAGAAGCAAGACTGAGCGGAATTGATCTCTCAGATTACAATCTTCGTCACTTTCAAACTAATGCGAAAAAATTAAAAGAGAATAAGGAAAGTTATAGGTAATTGAAATCATCTAGGAAATTATGACATAATAATAAATAACAAATAAATAATGAAATAATGAATTTAGATATGTATCCAATTACAGTCAAACCTGTCTATAACAGAATCTGTATATAGAAAAAACCTGTTATTAATGGAAAATTTCTTCGATCCCTTGAATTTTTCACAAAAAGTAATGTAAATTAACCTGTGTATATTGGAACCTATCCAACGCAGAAACAGAAAGGAAAATCAGGCTGTATTAAGGAAAAATCGGTATCTTTATCTAATTTAACAAGAAGTTTACAAGAACATTTTTGCATATTTTTATTAACAGCTGTTTTTACTTAACATAAATATGTGATGTAATTGTAAGTTGTGAAACTTAACACGTTATTCCTGATGTCAGATTATGTTCTTTGTTTCAAAGCTTATTTTAAACTTTTTACATCACATTTTGTTTTACTAAAATCAAGTCGAAATATCTGCAGATAAAATGCACATCGGTCATATTACGCATCCTTTTTAAGTTTCATAAAGGATATCATGCTGTACAGACAGTAAAAAAATACTTGTGCCGTGTATAGGGAAGATGCTTCTAAACTCTGAATGTGTCAAAATTTGGTTTTGAAAGTTTTGTTTGGAAAATTTTGAACTAAAGGATACAAAATGTACAGATCCCCAAAGGCTGTTGAGAGAAATTGTGGGAAGAAATTGTTAAAAATTGACAAATAACAACTTGTGAATTTGCAACAAATCTGAGTGTGTCACAGACAGTGTTGAAATATTATATCTATTTTGAAATGGTTGTAAAACATGATGATTGTGTTTGTTCCACATGCAGTTTTTTTTTTCACTCGTGAAAAAAACAAACTGAATTGAATATAATTTTGTCAGACAAAGGTAGGCAGCTGTAAGGTTTCATTTTATTATTAAATTAGTTACTCATTTTTATCTTAGAGAACTTTTTATGGATGAATGAAAAAATTAAAATATTTGTTATTAATCGAAATTTTGTTCTAGCGGGTGATGATTGTTCGGTCAAGTACGGAGGTACCCCACTGTATTTGATCAACATTATTTTGATATACATGGTAACATCGAGAAATTTATTAATTGCATTAATTGAGGGTATTGGGAATGCCTGTATTGGGTAACCTGCATATAGTGGAAACCTGTCTATTATGGAAGAGTTGTTCGGTCCCTTGGGATTCTCTTAGAGACAAGTTTGACTGTAATTGATCTAGTGATAAACGTATTTTAAGTATTTAATAAATTGAGTAAACTATTGTGCATTAATGCTTTTGAGGTTTTTTAGGTTTCATCTCCAGATCTCTCTCTCAATGAGAATTTTGGAACAATTATATTATTTAAAATTACTTATTATGTTCCAAAATGCTTGATCAAAAAAGATAAAACTTAAATACTATGTAGTGTGATCGATTAATCACACCACATAGTGTTTAAGCAACAAATCAGAATAACAACATGGTTTCAGATTATCAAAATAAAACTTTAAGCTACACCAACTGCCATATAGTATCAGGCTATAGTTGAGTGGTAATAATTTTGAATTACTGAATAATTTATCCTAAATTATTATCATCGAACTGTAGCCCAATATTATACAGCAGTTGGTGTAACTTTATAGTAATGATATGGGTTTCGTAGGATGTTTATAATTGAAGGATAAAAGTTTTAATCTATGAAAATTTGACTTCATAAATGTTTAAAAGCTTTTTATAACAAGTTCAGTCAATTAGTCAATTTTATAGAGTTGTTAATATGTCTGAGTACATTTATGTACACACACAATTTTTATAGAATTTATATACAAATATAAAATTTTTATGCAATTTTTTGAAAATACATATATTAAGTAATTAATGAATCATCCAACACTTAATGCTGAGAACTGTTCATTTAACAGACATAATGTCTGTTAAATGAACAGTTGTTATGTTGTGTTGTGCCAACTTTGAGAATGTCTATGAAGTCGCCAATAGTCATACATGACTCAATGGTTGAAGAAGAAGATTCATTAAGTATTTTAAAGAGCTGAGTTTGATATTTAGTTATATTAAGTAAGCTAAAAGAAATTAGTTCTTTATAAAATGTATTGTTAAATACAGGGTGATTCAACAGCCCACACATTAATTTAAAGGGTTAGTAGAGATGGGCAAAATACAGTACAGTCCTGCTAGTCCGAACTAATTGGGACCAAGCCCTGTTCAGATTAGCCAAATAATTGAAATACCTGTAATGCAGAAGCAAGCAGTAAAACAGGTCTGGTGTATATAGATCCAACACCATCAATGACATCAGTGTCCCACCTTTTATTTCATCTGACTTGTACTCAATAGAGGGCGCAAACAGTTAACAAAAAAGTTTCGTAATTTTGAAATGGCAATCTGCATTCATTGTTTACCTTAAAATTATTTTAACTGTGTACAAAATGTTGTTTTTAATACACAGTCCAGAATTCCAATCAGTTGATTGATGCTACTGTGTGATTTAGCATGCTTAATTGTAGATGTTGAATGTACTGTTTGTTCTATGTTATTTTAGTGTGGTTTAGTCTGCTGCTGCAATGGCCACAAAACAGAAACACACAACATGTACAGTACATTGAAAGATAAGCTGGACGTTTTGAAAAGGCTGGACAAGGGTGAAATTACAATACAATTTTTTTTTTTTTGTGGAATTCTAAATAATTTTGTACCATTAATTTATACCATATAAACTGGAAAATATTGATACAAAAAACACATATTTTGCGAGTTAAAAAATTTCCTCTCCGCCAACCAAAACATGTTCAGATTAGCAGTGTTCGGACTAGTAGGACTCTAATGTAAACCTTTTTCTTAGAGAACTGAAGGTTATGAGTGTATCATTACCTTAATAGGTGATGTTAAAGTTGGGAATGTTGTGCCAACACAACACATTACCCTGCTGGACACAGCCTACCCACCTTGTGTGCAATTAGAGGAAGTTCCTGAAATGGTCACTGTTGACTCTTAAACAGAGCTTAGAGTGGACTCTCAAAGATCCCAAGATATAAATCAAGTCTGCTGCATCCAAAGTTCTGTTCCTCAGATTTGTCATTCATTGGCATGATGTACACCGGTGATTCCCAAACTTTTTCGATCCACTGCCCCCTTTGTTCCATAAAGTTATACCCAACACCCTTAACCTATTTTCTCTTGTGTGAGAAAGGATTGGAAATATTCTTAGGAAAACTTTTCTATGAATCTCATGCTTTGTGCACTTACCATATATTGTTCTCAACATCTGGAAACCATTAAACTCAATGTTTCTTCTTATCAGTTTAACAAAGTAAAGGAACGGCTTTCAGTGGCCCCAATTTTGCCTTTGGTCACCGTTCAATACCCTGTCTCCAGCGCCCCCTAGATTTACTCATTGCCCATAAGGGGGCGTTATTGCCCAGTTTGAGAAACGCTAGTGTACACTAACATAACAAATGATGTGTTAGGGCATTGTTAAACTTAATAATATAATAAAAACTTTTAAACATAATAATTTATATAATTTAATAAATTCACATCTGAAATATTTAGGCATTTAAAAAAATTGTACTAGCGATTTTCTATTATTTGTCATTGTCAAAAATACAATATTAACATTAAAAGCTGATTTGCATGTAAAATGGGTTCTGTAACAGCTTGCCAACATGAAACATGTAACAGCTTGCCACCTCTGCTGAAATCTACATGTAAAATCTTCTTTAAGTTCTTCTAAATGCTGGATAAATACCAGAATGTCATCATCATTTGTTTCCACAGAGGAAAGATTTGGAAACCAGTAGAATTGTCTTTGACCGAAATTTTGTTTGTACAAGGCAAATTTTGATATGAATGCAGAAATAGTTGCCTTTGCTCTGATCAAATTTAAATAATCTTCTTGCAGCTGTAGATTCATTTCATTCCATTCTTTATTTATTATATAAATCAGTTAAATAAGCTATATTAATTTTATTTGTAAATTTTCGTCTGATGGCAATAATTAGAGAGAATTTATTGAAATTTAATTTAATTTAAGATTAATATAGCTTTAAATAAGTATCTGAAGACAAAGTCCTCCCAAGAAAGGAACCACCTTTGTCTTCAGATACATATTTAATTATAATTATTGCCATCAGAAGAAAATTTACAAAAAGTTTATAAAATATCGTCACCAGGGGACAACTTTTCTAATCTACATTTACCAGCACTAGATAAAAAGCCAAAACACCTCCAAGAAGGTACGATGGAAACCAGAAGATGTCTGTATGCCACCAATTCCTTTTTTAAAAATCCTTTTATTTTTAACTGGGTGTATTTTTGTTTTTTTAAAAAAACGTTTTGGCAGCCAGTAGCCTAAAATGAAAGGTCAGTCGCCAAGAATGTATAGTCTGGAATATGAAGATAATAAATGGTGGTTCCTTTTTTGGGAGGACTTTGTCTTCAGATACTTATTTAAAGCTATATTAATCTTAAATTTCAATAAATTCTCTCTTAATTAACAAATCATCATTGTTTTCAAAAAGTGTTATAACTGAGTCAGAGGTCATAAAATCTTTTTAGACAGGTACCCTTTGATAGCCAATGAACTTCTGTGTGCAATAGTAAACAATTGAAATCTTCATTGTTTGTCACAGTTTTTGAAACAATTATCATTCAGAGCATTGCTTCTGATCTTGTTAACTGCTGTAATTACATACTGTAGTGAGCAATGAAGGCAATCACTAAGATTTCAACTAGGATTAGTCCTGTTGTCATTTTTGTCTGGGTAGAGTTTCTGTAACAAGTTGTACAATATTGCCCTCTTTTACATTAGTTCCATCTCATGAAATGTTGAGATCTAACAAATATTCTGATTTTCAATATTTCACAAAATCATCCATTATTTTCTTTCGTTTTTGCCACATTCCAGTTAATTCTGTTTTCCTTCTTCCTTGTTCTACCTCTTCTTCTTCTAGTTCAGGCAAATCAGTAAGTCTTTTCCCTGTGAAAAAGTAGCTTGATGTAAGTGCCTTATTCTCTTCATAGTCAGAGATATTGAGTTGATTGTGGCTTCAATTTCTGTCAATATAGGTCTTGAGTTCATCAGTATTTAATCTGCTTTTTCCAATTGTTTTCTTCACACATCTCTTTATAGTTTAGATGAGTTGTTCCAACTGACTTCTCCATCATGTGGCCTGTTCAATAATGTAACAGAGTATATCATCCTTTTCTTAATCGACTTCTTTACAGTTATTCTAATTAAAGCATATTCATTTGATTTCTTTAAAAATCATTATATTTGCCAAAATTTAGACTTTGTATAGACATTTTAAAGATAATTATGTTTACTGTATGGCATGTGGATTCAAAAAGGTTTGTCATCCCTGTATTAAATGTTTGCTAAATACACTACTTGTTCAGGTTGCCAAAAAAATGATGGGCTTTTGATGGTAAGATTTAATTTTTTTTAATTTTTGTCACATAACTGATTATATAAGTTTATATTTTTGAAAAATTATAAACTATATAATGTTTATTATTGAATATGAGACAGTACCTCCATCTTACTCTAAGTCTTTAGTTTTGTGCAGTTGCAAACAAATCTGCCAATATTCGATATTCAGAACTGGAACATTTGAAAAACTATTCATTATTTGGCAAAAAAAAAGTATTTAGTCCATCCCTAATTATAATGTTTATTTCATTGAATTTAAAATACTTATAAACATTTCCTAAATAACATTATATATTTTTAAAATGAAATTAATAAAATTTAATGATCTTATATAGGAAGAAAATTGAAACAGCAACAAAAATATTTTCTCATACGGTAACAGATCCCAATATTATTAAAGATATGTCAGAACAAACGTTATCGATAATGTCTGTTGACAGGTAAGTAAAGCAGTAAATTTTAAATAAAGAACTTAAAATTGTTTATTAATCCTTTGATGAGTATTCCCATAAATATATGTGATATGTATGGTGGACTCTATGGAGTAAGCCCATATATATATACACATTTTTCAAGTTTGTCTCGAGTACACTTGTATATTTACTGGCGAATGTAAAATTTTATGGATGGCTAAGGACTCTATTGACTAGGTCTAAAACATTTTCCATGTGGATTTTGTATTTTGTAAGTTTCACGAGATCTAGCATGGAATTTTCTAGCATAAAGACAAATATGGTGTCTAGTGTTCATTCATAATTGCTGTCTCCTTCTGAATAATTGAATTTTTTCAACATGATCGAATCAGAAGAAAATATTGTCTAGTTTATTAAAAAAAACACAAATTAGAAAATGAGATATTAATTTCTTTTGTAAATGTTACATATTTTAGGTAAGAATAAGCATAGTCTCTTCAAAATAGTTCTCATAGTCTCTAGAATTGTGTCTGTTCTCAAAATTTGATTAGTTGATTTTGATTAAATTTTGTCATTTTTCATAAGAGATGAAGAAATTAAAATTGTAATAAAAATTGGGGATCCATGATTTCATTTTCAAGATACATTGGGTCAATGTGAAAACATACAAGGTCGGTAACACAAGCGTAAGCAATTTTATTTTATTTTTTTTTATGCCAATGGTGACATCATTGCCTTGGTAGCAAAAAATGATCATTATAGATGACTCCTCAAAACAGTATTATTGATTTGCTAGTGCCTTGGTCCAATTCTAAATTTGTGTTTAGACAGAAAGCAAACTGTATCTAGTTTAAAAACTAACTCACACTGTGAGGAGAGAGTATCATCAGTAAACCTACTCATCAAAGGGTTAAGGAGATTAAAGTTCAAAATATTTTATTAGGAAAACATTTTCAAGTCTTCTCAAGTCAGCTTCAGCCAAAAAATCATTGTGGTCACTTATAATTTTCAATGGAACATAAAAGAAAAATCAAATCAAACAAATGCATTTAAATTTGAAATGTGATATGCTAAAGAACAACATAAAATGTTAATGTTCCATACAAAAGTAAAAATAAAAATTTGAAAATAAATAAACACAAAAGAAAAGACACAAAAAGAAAAAAAACATGCAAAATTACTAATAATCTATTCACTAAATTAAGTGATGTCAATGCTGTTTAAAACAGATTTCCAACTATCACTAAAGGCTTTCACATCATTGGTATTAATCATGTTTAAACTTTTGGATCAATTTATTCTAATTGGGAACACCTCTCTGCATTCCTTAATGAGTGTTGTCTACCATATCACTTGTTTTGAAATTACTTGCCCATTATGCCAAAGAAGTGCTAACTCTAGGCCAAATGAGCATGCTCTTTTATTTTAATAGCCAGAGACTTAGTTGTGGATCCTATGTAGTAAAAACTCTAAGCATTGGTTAACTTTAGAGCATATGTTTTTTGTATTGTATTAAGTTTTATGCTGTTTTAAATTTGAAATGTGAGATACTAATGAATTGTGCTTCAAATTTTAATATGTTTATACAATTTGGGTTTTCTTCTAAGTTCCATTGAAAATTATAAGTGATTACAATAGTTTTGTGGCTGAAGCTGGTCAAGAAGACTTGAAAATGTTTCCCTAAAAAAAAAATACAGTGGGTGATCGGTTAATGAACAGTTCAGACTGCAAACAAATCAGAAAACAAACACTTTCACGAAAGATTTTTATGAACACCTGACAGAACAAACACAAGAAGAAGCAACACTGCATTTAAGATTTGTAATTTGTAAAACTATTTTTTAATGGCATCTATATATGGTTTATGGAATGAGACTTTCACAGTTGTATACATAACCTTTTTGCACTAGTTAATTTCTGTTCTCTGAATTTTTAAGTACTTTTCTGAACTTTTTACTTAAAAAACTGATAATATTATTGGACCTAAAAAGATTGGAGTGTCAAGAACTGTGTTCACTACAGAAATTAAGCAAGAGATAATAGCCAAGGTAGAGAATGGGCAGAAAATGTCTGATGTTGTAGGCAGATGACTTCAGCAGGTCTACAGTAGATACAATCTTAGCTAAGAAAGATATAATCAAAACAACTCAAACAGATAAAGGAGTAACAAAAATCACATCTGAGAAACAAAGATGTACCATTATGAAAAAATGGAGAGATTATTTATATGTAATAACAAATTAAAAGCAAACATAGTAAGGAAAGTATATAATTTTTTATTTATTTTTAGGGGTCTCCAGAACAAATTAATAAAATTCCCACAAAAATCTGTGGTAAATCGATAATCGGTTAATGAACAATTTGGATAGCGAACATGGTCTTGGAACAGATATATGTTCATTAACCGATCACCCATTGTATTTTGAATATTGGTCTCCTTAATAAGTCGTTTTGAGTTTTTTATTTAATTGTGTTGCCAACTTTTAGGAATTTGATGAAGTAANTTTTTTTTCATGGAAAAAAAACGAACTTACTTTCTGAACAACCAATATATTATATTGGTATTCATGTGATATATATCAAAATTATGCCTATTCTTTCAATCTTAATAGGTATGTTGATAAATTTGAATATTTATATGATATTGGAAACTTTCATAAAGCAAACAAATGTAACTTTCATAAAAATAATAAGTCTCCTCATAAAAAATAATACAATTTGTTCATTTTTTAATGAAAATATGTTGAAAGATTATTCAACAGTAAAAAAGCCTAAGGCCCTGGAAAATTATTTGCACCTGACTCTCTTTTTGGAGAAGATCCTGTATAATGTTATACAAATTGTGCAAATCCAAGACAACAAATCTCATTGAAGGCAAAACTCTTTATCACTGTATATAGTCATCTATTCTGTCTGATGATGATAACAGTTTTGATATAAAAAATAACTTTTGTTATGCTTGTATGTTTTATAGTATAATCAAATAAAATGATTTTTTTAGGAAGTTAACGCAAATAGAGAAAAACTAACGGAACCACAGAAACGAGTAGTCGATAAATATTTACTAGAAGCAAGACTGAGCGGAATTGATCTCTCAGATTACAATCTTCGTCACTTTCAAACTAATGCGAAAAAATTAAAAGAGAATAAGGAAAGTTATAGGTAATTGAAATCATCTAGGAAATTATGACATAATAATAAATAACAAATAAATAATGAAATAATGAATTTAGATATGTATCCAATTACAGTCAAACCTGTCTATAACAGAATCTGTATATAGAAAAAACCTGTTATTAATGGAAAATTTCTTCGATCCCTTGAATTTTTCACAAAAAGTAATGTAAATTAACCTGTGTATATTGGAACCTATCCAACGCAGAAACAGAAAGGAAAATCAGGCTGTATTAAGGAAAAATCGGTATCTTTATCTAATTTAACAAGAAGTTTACAAGAACATTTTTGCATATTTTTATTAACAGCTGTTTTTACTTAACATAAATATGTGATGTAATTGTAAGTTGTGAAACTTAACACGTTATTCCTGATGTCAGATTATGTTCTTTGTTTCAAAGCTTATTTTAAACTTTTTACATCACATTTTGTTTTACTAAAATCAAGTCGAAATATCTGCAGATAAAATGCACATCGGTCATATTACGCATCCTTTTTAAGTTTCATAAAGGATATCATGCTGTACAGACAGTAAAAAAATACTTGTGCCGTGTATAGGGAAGATGCTTCTAAACTCTGAATGTGTCAAAATTTGGTTTTGAAAGTTTTGTTTGGAAAATTTTGAACTAAAGGATACAAAATGTACAGATCCCCAAAGGCTGTTGAGAGAAATTGTGGGAAGAAATTGTTAAAAATTGACAAATAACAACTTGTGAATTTGCAACAAATCTGAGTGTGTCACAGACAGTGTTGAAATATTATATCTATTTTGAAATGGTTGTAAAACATGATGATTGTGTTTGTTCCACATGCAGTTTTTTTTTTCACTCGTGAAAAAAACAAACTGAATTGAATATAATTTTGTCAGACAAAGGTAGGCAGCTGTAAGGTTTCATTTTATTATTAAATTAGTTACTCATTTTTATCTTAGAGAACTTTTTATGGATGAATGAAAAAATTAAAATATTTGTTATTAATCGAAATTTTGTTCTAGCGGGTGATGATTGTTCGGTCAAGTACGGAGGTACCCCACTGTATTTGATCAACATTATTTTGATATACATGGTAACATCGAGAAATTTATTAATTGCATTAATTGAGGGTATTGGGAATGCCTGTATTGGGTAACCTGCATATAGTGGAAACCTGTCTATTATGGAAGAGTTGTTCGGTCCCTTGGGATTCTCTTAGAGACAAGTTTGACTGTAATTGATCTAGTGATAAACGTATTTTAAGTATTTAATAAATTGAGTAAACTATTGTGCATTAATGCTTTTGAGGTTTTTTAGGTTTCATCTCCAGATCTCTCTCTCAATGAGAATTTTGGAACAATTATATTATTTAAAATTACTTATTATGTTCCAAAATGCTTGATCAAAAAAGATAAAACTTAAATACTATGTAGTGTGATCGATTAATCACACCACATAGTGTTTAAGCAACAAATCAGAATAACAACGTGGTTTCAGATTATCAAAATAAAACTTTAAGCTACACCAACTGCCATATAGTATCAGGCTATAGTTGAGTGGTAATAATTTTGAATTACTGAATAATTTATCCTAAATTATTATCATCGAACTGTAGCCCAATATTATACAGCAGTTGGTGTAGCTTTATAGTAATGATATGGGTTTCGTAGGATGTTTATAATTGAAGGATAAAAGTTTTAATCTATGAAAATTTGACTTCATAAATGTTTAAAAGCTTTTTATAACAAGTTCAGTCAATTAGTCAATTTTATAGAGTTGTTAATATGTCTGAGTACATTTATGTACACACACAATTTTTATAGAATTTATATACAAATATAAAATTTTTATGCAATTTTTTGAAAATACATATATTAAGTA